AGTCCAACATCTAGTCCCTTATTGAAATCTTACCCTTTTGCTCTGGGAATTCTGGGAAACACTGTAACTCACATGTCCCTTTCCCATAGTTCTCCTTGATTCCACCTGAGTGTCAGGTCTCATCCTTAAGCAGGGACATGGAATCATTAGGAAGATAAGGATTATTTCTTCACCTCTTTTGGCCTTTGTCCCTCTTCTTTAAAACAAGTAACTTGGTTCTTCAATTCTAATGATGGGAGAATTCTATGCCCTATTCCCTTTGCCTTTAGTTTTGTCTGCTTTAAATCCATCTTTCACTCCAGACACCAGGGAAAATTGTGATACTAATTATGTCACTCCTGTGGTTGCATTTCCTCCACAGCCCCCACTTTTTACCCATTATTCTTGTCAAGGTTCCCAAGGCTATGGTCACCTCTGCAACCTAATTCTTGGCAGTCCCCATCTCCCACTGTGTGCTTCAGCAGATTGCTAAAAGCACTCTGTCCTGTGCTGCTTCTTGCTCATGTACCCTTTCACTTGTTCTCTTCCCTGCTGGGAAAGCCCCTCCTGAATAATCCACCTGTATAAGTCCTTGCCCAGGGATCTCCTCCTCCAGGAATTCTTCCCTCACTCCATCCCTCCAGGCTGGATTTGGGACTCTTCTCAGTTCTCCACTCTCCAGATGCTTTCATCTCGCCATTTAATTCACTGTATTGTGATGACTGTTAGCGCATCCCTCTCTGGAAAGTGAGTTCCCTGAGGATAAAAACCACACCTAATGGTCTTAGCCTGTCCCACAGAAGCCCTCCCTGTCCAGTGGCTTCTAGGAGTTCTTCAATGACTGACAAGCAGCCTATTTCAATTCTCTGCTTCTTGTCATGGCTCAACAGAATTGCCCATAGCATTAGATACTAGAAACAGAATAGAACATATTTATTTGGTGCCTGGGTAAAGAGCAAAAATTAAGTGACAAAGGGCTGCATCCTGCACTTTTTATTAAGTTTATTTCTCATTATTACCATTATTGCAGATGTCCCCTATTTCCCCCTTACTTTCCTCCACCACCTAACACCTGCCGCACTGGTCCTAAGATTAAAGGGTTCTAACGTGTAGGAAACACTTTCTTTACTTGAATGTGATTATTCATTTTATGAGCAATTGAAATAATAATTCAGCTGCTACTGCAAGTCCAGGTGGGACATATGGGGGAAAAAATCATTATAGTGGATTTGAATTTCAACATCCTAAGAACAAACCCTGCAGAAGCCAGAACCCCAGCTTTGCACATCAGAACTAGACACATCCTCATTATATTCTCTCCCTCATGTCCACTATTTTCTTCATTGAATATTTTTTATACTGTCTTTGTCATTTTATTTTGGCCTAAGGAAGCAATATTTGACAATCCTAAGAATAAATCCATCTTTTTCGTCAAAAGATCACCATTTTTACCTTCATCACATATATTTTCTTCCTAGTCCTGGACGGTTTGCATGGACTCTACACCTCTTTCTTAGAGAAAACAACATGCATCTGAGAATACATTCTAGCTTCAAAGGCTGACCCCATCTTTAACCATTCTTTAAATCAGCAAAATTATGAAAATAATTTAAATACTATCCTCTATGGTGCTTATGAAGTACACTAAGCCCTCCTTTAATATCCAGAATAGGTTCCTGGCACTGTGGAGAAACAACATATAACAAGACCAATTTTACTATAGGCTAATCTAATTTATACAAATGAGTTAAATTTTTACAGCATCTCATCAATGTTATTAAAAAACAACTTTGAATGAAACATTTTATGAGGACCTGCTATTATTCTTAGAAGAGATATATTGAACCAGAATGCTTGCATATCAGCCCACAGGCTGAGGGTCAGACACGAGGTGATGCTTAATGGAGCACCGGGAAGACAGAGAGAGGGGCCATTTGTCCAGGGTCTGCCTATCTTCTGGCTCTCACGTTCCCAGGTCCTGGGGGTCCTGTAACCAGAGGGGAAAGAATGGTTATTGTTATTGACTTTCCTGTTTTGGCTCTCTCCTGCAAAGTGGGTCTTCCAGTGTTTGAGGAGAGAACGCACAGGAGGCATTGTCTTCTCACACAGGGATAAAGAGATTTCAGTAGTTGCACTTGCAGGAAAAAGGACAGAGAATATGAATTTTGAGGGATTTCAGGAAAGGAATGGAAAGATGATTAATGTCTTCATTTATAATCCCAAAAACATAGCTGTGTGAAAATTAACCTTTGTGACATTTTTTGTACACCTGTCATTTTCCTGCTTAGTCTCTCGGGCATCTTCTAATTGTACTTCTGGATAATTATGACACAAGTTCAGAAATGTATGTAGAGGTACTTCAGACAAAGGCTGTGGAAAAGCAGTAGCTGGTGTTGCTGCAAGTAAAGATCCCACATGAGATACAAGAACAAGAGAAAATGGGCTAAATTATTGGTAGGGTGAACATAGGGAATGAGTGTTGCACAGGACTGAGACCAGGACCTGGCTCTTTCTTAAGCAGAAACTTTATATTCCTTTTCTCTCTCCCATTCTATGTTTTCTCCACCAGCATCTTATTTATTCTCTTTCCATATCATTCCCTCCTTGAGGGTAAGAAATGCTAAAGGTTTTGGAGTAATGGGAACACGGGGACTACATGATGAGCTGCAGCAATGAAAAATATTGGTTTGTAAGCTCTTCCATCCAATATAGAGGGTCCCCTTCGCACTGAGAATGCAGCTAGTATTGAGAACTGAGGTAGCTGGGAATTATCTAAGCAGGTGAAAGCCTGTTTCACATATATAGCGACAAGTAGGAGTCAAGAGAAGAAAGCAGAGAGAGGTTTAGGCAGAGGGAGAAGGTCCTGAAGAGTTGCAAAGACATAAGAGAGTATGGCCCATCTGGGCAAAGAAAAGCTTTTCAGAATGATCAGATTTAGGATAAAAGTTGAAAAGTGGTGAGAGAGAAGCTGGAGGGTCAGAGCACATCAAGGAGTTTGGATGTTTTCAGAAGGTGGCACAGAGGTGTTCTGTGGATTTTAGGAAGGGCAGTGATATAATCAGATTTACGTTTTGAACATCTCAGTCAAACAGCTGTGTGGAGAAATCAAGGGTGAAAATATAGACCAGGAAGGAAGCCCATGCAATAGACTAGTAAGAAATAAAATTGTTTCCTCTTTAGCAATGCAGTTGATGCTGTTAACACACAGCACACTCCAGGGAACATCCAGAATCTCAGGCAGCTCCTACATACTCTCTCCTATTCTGCTCAGTAAAAAATCAAATGCAAAACAGCAAGCCATACTTATTAAAAGTCAAGAGAAGTTTTTATGAAATATCCAAATTTAGAAATGCATCATGACAATGTTGCTTTCAAATTATCAGAAACCACCAGAGATCATTGCAAACTGCCTCTCTTCCAAAGGATCAGAACATAGATATTCTTCCATTGCTAAACAATTTGCATATGATATGGCCATTTTTATCATTCTAGAGACAATATCTGCTTTGGGGGTTTTAGATTCACGTATAATTGACAGATGACATTATATTAGTTTCAGGTGTACAAAATGATGATTCAATCTTTGCATATATTGCAAACTGATCACCCCAATAAGTCTAGTTAACATCCTTCTCCACACATAGTTACAGAATTTTTTCTTCTCATAAGAACTTTTAAGATCTACTTTCTTAGTAACTTTCAAAAATGCCATACAGTATCACCTACAGTCACCATGCTGTATAATACATTCCCATGACTTATTCATTTTGTAACTGGAAGTTTGTACATTTTGACCCCCTGCCCACACACAGTGGTTTTTATACTGAAGAACATGACAGTGATAACAGCCAATGGTGACCTCTCTTGTAGTGAGGGACATAATGAATAGCAAGAGTAGAAAAATATGTATAACAAGGGAAAACAGGACATGGAAGAAGCTAGTGTGCTGTTTTGCTGTTTCCTTGTCCTTGGTTATAGGGCCCATTCCTCTGTGACTGCTTACAGGACCCTTACGAGCTGGAGTGAGGAGAGTCAGAGGGCAGGTGGGCTCAGGGTGAGTGCCCCAGCTCCCAGCCCCATTCATGGCATCACCATCATGAGAGTGTCAAATCTGACTCTCATCCTTTCAGGCTCACATGAAAAGATCCTGCTGCAATTTCTCTCTCCCCCAGTATTTAATGAACAGCATGGACGATATGACTCAAAATTCTGTCTGTGGCCTTTACGGTAGTGTCTTAGGGTTCTGAAATGTTCAGCCTTGATATCTGCTCTTTCCTTGGACACTTTAATCAATCTCTCAACTTCACAGATGAAGTGTATGTTGTAAAGTGACAAATGTCCAAGAAGCTTCTGGCCCTGTTCCTACAAGTTGTAGCAGTTCCTGGTATATTAAGCTGTATGCATTTGTGTATGTGGTTTAATATCTGGTGGAAATATTTCCTTTTTCTCTTTCTTTCTTTCTTTCTTTCTTTCTTTCTTTCTTTCTTTCTTTCTTTCTTCTTTCTTTCTTTCTTTCTTTCTTTCTTTCTTTCTTTCTTTCTTTCTTTCTTTCTTTCCTTCTTTCTTTTTTTCCTTGAGAAGTAAACCTACATTCTACCCATCTCCAATACACTGTCTGCATATTTGAGATATCTGCCAAATTTCCTCACCTCTGAGACATGATAATCTGTCCCTTTTTTGAGTCTCAGTCAAGGCAGACAACCCAAATTAAGGTATTGAGCTTCACTGGATATGTTCCATATTGGTGTCAGAGCGACAACCACCATTTTATCTATAAGGTCCAAAGTTGCAGATAATACTAGCCCAGAGATGAAGAAGATGGATGAGTGTCCTAAAGGTTAATGGGCAAGAATTGATCAAGATTACAAAATATTACATGTAACAATTACAGAATATGGAATTCCAAATGTTTGTAGTTAAGGCTTTAGGCCCAGTCATTTACTTCAAGAAATTTAAAATTTAGAGATGATCTAGACTCTGTCCTGAGTCTACTTCATCTTCTTTTCCTTCTTCAATCATCTAGCTGATGTGTCAGCTGCATGGAACCAGGAAATCAAACAAGTGTTTCAGAATTTTTACTTCTGGGATTTTCTGAAGACTCGGAGCATCAACGCATCCTATTTGGGTTGTTCCTGTCCATCTTTGCAGTCACTGTGCTCGGGAACCTGCTCATCATCCTGGCCGTCAGCTCTGACTCCCACCTGCACACCCCCATGTACTTCTTCCTCTCCAACCTGTCCTTTGTTGACATCTGCTTCACCTCCACCACCATCCCAAAGATGCTGGTGAACATCCAGACACAGAGCAAAGCCATTACCTATGCAGGCTGCGTCACCCAGGTGTATTTTTTCATGGTTTTTGGAGGTATGGACACATTTCTCCTCACTGTGATGGCCTATGACCGGTTTGTGGCCATCTGTCACCCCTTATACTACGCAGTCATCATGAACCCCCGCCTCTGTGGCCTGCTGGTTCTCATGTCCTGGTTCATCAGCTTAACCTACTCTCTGATCCAGAGTCTGTTGATGTTGCGGCTGTCTTTCTGTGCCAGTTGGGTGATCTCACACTTTTATTGTGAACTTGCTCAGGCCCTCATGCTTGCCTGTTCGGACACACTTGTCAATCACATCCTGCTATATGTGGTGACTGGCCTTCTTGGCATTATACCCTTCTCAGGAATTGTTTTCTCCTATATTCGAATTGCCTCCTCAATCCTGAGAATTCCATCAGCAGATGGGAAATATAAAGCGTTTTCTACCTGTGGGTCTCACCTGTCTGTGGTTTCATTATTCTATGGGACAGGCCTTGGTGTGTATCTGGGTTCTGATGCTCCTTCCTGGAGGGGCATGATTGCCTCAGTGATGTACACTGTGGTCACCCCAATGCTGAACCCCTTCATCTATAGCCTGCGGAACAGGGACATCAAGAGGGCTCTACAGAACTTTCTTGTGAGAACATTCTGTGTTCAGTAATGGGAGCACTGGACCAGGAATTTTAACTGACAGTGGTAGCAGCAGTTGGCTAAAGAAATTGCACCTCTTAATGACATTGTATTTTGCTTCTCATCCATTCTCTATAAGTGAATTTGGTTACATTTGCCTTCTTTGTCAACCTCTTATGCTGACTTTCCTCAAATTCTCAGTTCTATTTCTCTCATACCTTCCATTTACTTATCCATTACTGCACCTCAGCTTGGATTTCCTGCCCTGCAGGTAGAGACCAGCCACTTCCAGAACCAACTTGAAAGAGTTGAATTATGACATAGCACATTTTATTGAAAACTATTGGGAATTCTTACAAATGTCATTTATTCAACTATATTTGCTGAGCACTTTTGGTGTGCCATGCCATTGTAGGTGTCTGGAATACAGCAATGCAGAATGGGGAAAAAATAAAACGCTTTGCCCTTATAAAGCTTAAATCCTGTGTATCAGAGTTCATCATATCACATTGTATGTCCAACAGAAAATACACTTATGGATAAATTATTTGTTTGGTCATTAGTGAGGTTGAACTTTTCTATATATGTTTCTTAGAGCATTTCCAAGTAAAACTATAACAATGTATCACTACAGATAAATATAACACCAAGGACCCAGAATATTAGATTTGATCATGCTCTAATAAACTGTTCAGTCTAGTCTAATTTTGCAGGTGAATTCACTGAGGCTCAACTATAAGAGTCTAGACAGTGACAAAATCTGGCTGAAAGGGGGACATATTTTCAAGTATGGTTCCAGGACAGAGCAGTGTATTACAATTCGGGAGAGCAATAATTAGTCACAGAATTGCCACTCTAGGTATGTGACACTGAAAGGCATCTGATGACACAGAATATGGTAAGACCTGTGGATCTCCTGATATATCGTCTTTATCTGCATATCTTCTTTACCATAAAGAAATAGAATGTTTTACGCTTTGGGGTGGTGGTGTTTGCCAAGCTACTGCAGGCAGGAAAGGCAACTATAAAGACATAAATAGTCATCTTGGTAAAGATGAATCACTGCTTACTCCAGAATGGAAAGAGTCTAATAGAATCATCTTGCCCACAAGTGGTATGCTTGAGGGATATTACCATTTCTAGAGAAACATATAATTGGCCTCCAAAAAACAAGAACCACATCCCCATTAATTTCTAGGATTTGAGTCTTAAAACAGGTTTGGGTGTGGAAACTGGAACATTAATCATGATTTACAATAATAGTAGCTGACATCTGACTTTTTCTGACTTATCCTGCATATTTTGGATTCTCTAAGATAAACAATACTTTATTATTTATTTATTTTATTAATAAATTTATTTACTTTTTTTTACAGATGTTTCTCCTTTTTCCCTCACTGATTCCCCTCACCCCCTCCCTCCCCGCCCTGTCCCCAACTTTGTTGTCCATGTCCATTATTCATGTATACATGCATATAAGTTCTGTAATTTATCTCTCCCCCACCACCCCCTCTTCTGGGGATTGTCAGTCTGTACCCCACTTCCACATCTCTGGGACTAGCCCATTCTTCAGACTGTTATGTTAATTGTACTCCACAAATAAGTGAGATCATGATACTTGTCTTTCTCTGTTAGCTTGTTTTGCTTAGGATAATACTTTCCAGGTCCCTCCATGTCATCTGAAAGGATAAGAGATCTTTCTTTCTTACAGCTGCATAGTACTCCATTGTGTATATGTACCACTGCTTTTTTATCCATTCGTCTACTGATGGACATTTGGGTTGTTTCCAGATCTTGGCTATTTAAATAGTGCTGCTACAAACATGGGGGTACATATATTCTTTCTGATTGCTGAGTCAAGCTTTTTAGGGCATATTCCTAGAAGTAGGATCACTGGGTCAAATGGCAGTTCAATTTTTAATTTTTTGAGGTAACACCATATTGTTTTCCATAGTGGCTGCACCAGCAGTGTACTAGAGTCCCCTTTTCTCCACACCCTCGCCAACACTTGTTGTTTGATGATTTGTTGATGGCGGCCATTCTGACAGGTGTGAGGTGATACCTCATTGTTGTTTTAATTTGCATCTCTCTGATGATGAGTGATGTTGAGCATTTCTTCATATCTCTCTTGGCCACTTGTATGTCCTGTTTGGACACATGAGAGGTGTATATTTAGTTCCTCTGCCCATTTTTTAATGGGGTTCTTTGTCTTCCCTTTACTGAGTTCTAGGAGTACTCTATATATTTTGGAAATTAACCCCTTATCTGATGTATCATTGGCAATTATGCTCTCCCATACAGTGGGTTGCCTTTCTATTTTGATGGTTGTTTCTTTTGCTGTGCAGAAAGTTTTTAGTTTGATGTAGTCCCATGTGTTCATTTTCTCCTTTGTTTCTGTTGCTTTAGGTGATGTATCAGTGAAAATTCTGCTGCATATAATGTCCAAAATTTTGTTGTCTATATTTTCTTCTAGGATTTTTATGGATTCACCAATTACACTTAAGTCTTTAATCCACTTTCAGTTTATTCTCGTGTATGGTGTAAGTTGATGGTTTGGTTTCATTTTTTTCAAGTAGCTGTTCAATTTTCCCAACACCATTTATTAAAGAGGGTGTTTTTACTCTACTGTATGTTCTTGCTACCTTTGTCAAATATTAATTGAGCATAATATCTTGGGTCCATTTCTGGGTTCTCTGTTTCATCCCACTGGTCTATATGCCTGTTCTTGTGCCAGTACCAGGCTGGTTTGATTACAGTGTCTTTGTACTATAACTTGATATCTGGTATTGTGATCCCACCTATTTTGTCCTCCTTTTTTAAGATTGCTGTGGCTATTTGGGACTTTTTGGTTTCATATGAATTTTTTAAGCATTTTTTCTGGTTCTTTGACATATGTCACTGGTATTTTGATAGAAATTTAATTAAATCTATAGATTGCTTGGGGTAATATGGAAATTATAAGAATGTTAATTCTTCCAATCAATGAACAAGGTATGTGCTTCCATTTTTTATATCTTTCTCTATTTCTTTTTTCAATCTCCTGTAGTTTTCTAAAAATAGATCCCTTACTTCTTTGGTTAAGTTTCTTCCTAGGTTTCTTATTTTTTTTGCTGCAATGGTAAATGGGATTGTTTGTTTGTTTCTCTTTTTGTGAGTTCATTGTTGGTGTATAAGAATGCCATCGATTTCTAAATGTTAATTTTGTATCCTGCTACTTTGCCAAATTTATTCATTAAGTCCGTTAGATTTTTGATGAAGTTCTAAGGGTTTTCTATATGTAATATTATGTAATCTGCAAATAATGACAGTTTCACTTTCTCCTTTCCCATTTCGATCCCTTTTATTTTTTTTTTCCTGTCTGATTGCTGTGGCTAAGACTTTCAGTACTATGTTAAATAAGAGAGGTGAAAGTGGGCATTGTTGTCTTGTTCTTGTTTTTAAAAGAAATGCTTTTAGTTTCTGCCCACTGAGTATGATGTTGGCTATAGGTCTTTCATATATGGACTTTATCATATCAAGATATGATCAGTCTATTCCACATTGCTGAGCATTTTAATCAGAAATGGGTGCTGCATTTTGTCAAATGCTTTTTCAGCATCTATTGATATGTTCATGTGCGTTTTTTTTCTTCATTTTATGTTGTGTATTACTTTTATTGATTTTCAAGTATTGTACCAGCCTTGCATCCCTGGAATAAATTCCACTTGGTCATGCTAAATAACTTTTTTGATGTATTGCTGTATTTGATTTGCTAGTATTTTGTTCAGAATTTTGGCATCTATATTCATCAGGAATATTGGCCTGTAGTTTTCTTTCTTTGTAGTGTTTTCTTTTTCTGGTTTTGGAATTGGAATTATACTAGCCACATAAAATGAGTTTGGAAGTCTTCCTTCTTTTTGAATTTTGAAATGGTTGGAGGAGAATGAGTGTTAGTTCTTTTTATATGTTTATTTATTTGTTCATTTATTTATTTGTTTGTTTTTACAAATGGTTCTCATTTTTCGTCCATTGACACCGTCCTCCCCTTTCTCTCCACCCCATCCCCAGCTTTGTTGTCTATGTTTATTGGTCATGCATACATGCATGTAAGTTCTGTGGTTTATCTTTTACCCCCAAACCTCCTCTTCAGAGGCTTGTCAGTCTGGTTTCTTGTTTTTTTTTTACACTCGCCTGAGGACATTTTTTCATTTTTTGCTCAGATAGAGTGGGAAGGAGAGAGAGAAAGAGAGAAAGAGAAACATCGACATGAAAGGGACACATCGAGTGGCTACCACCCACATGACCCAACCAGGGCCGGGGACAAACTGCAACCGAGGTACATGCCCTTAGCAGGAACCAAACCCAGATCTCTCTGGACTGTAGGCCAATGCTCTAACCGCTGAGCCAAACCTGCCAGGGCAAGGCTTGTCAGTCTGTACCCCACCTCTATGTCTCAGGGTTAATTTTCTTCTGCAGTTTTTTTAGTTCATTATATTCTACAAATAAATGACATCATGTGATATTTGTCTTTCTCTGCTTGGCTTGTTTCACTTAGCATAATACTCTCCAGGTCCTCCTATGCTATCTCAAAGGATAAGAACTCTTTCTTTCTCACAGCTGCATAGTATTTCATTGTGTACATGTACCACAGCATTTTATTCCACTCATCTACTGATGGACACTTGGGTTGTTTCCAGATCTTAGCTATTTTAAATAGTGCTGCTGTGAACATAGGGGTACATGTATTCTTTCTGATTGATGGTTCAGGTTTCTTAGGGTATATTTCTAAAAGTGGTATCACTAGGTCAAATGGCAGTTCAATTTTTAACTTCTTGAGGTAACACCATAATGTTTTCCACAGTTCTTTGAATATTCATTAAAACTCCCCCATGAAGCCAACCGGGACTGGGCTTTTGTTTGCTGGGAGAGTCTTGATTACCTCTTCAATTTCCTTAGTTGTTATTGCTCTATCCAAGTTTTCTATCTTTTCCTGGTCCAGTTTTGGGAGACTATGTGTTTCTAGAAATTTGTCCATTTCGCTTAGATTATCAA